TGCCAGATTATTGCCTTTGGCTTCTGAGGAGTTTAATTTCCCATGAGCTTTTACCTTCAGAATAGCCACTTGGATGGGTAGAAGGAGTGCTTCCAGCAGTCGTCCAATGGCTGCTCCATGTCTTATGGACGTTCCTGCCGCAGTCATAAATCCTCTTGCCTTCCATATGGGTCCGAAATCATGGGCCACCCCAAAGGCGTATCTGGAGTCTGTGTAGATATTGGCCCTTTTTCCTTCCATCATCTGGCATGCTGTTGTGAGTGCTTGAAGTTCTGCTCCTTGTGCAGATATTGCTGGTGATAGGGCTCTTGCCTGTAGGACTGTATCTGCAGTAGTAACCGCAAATCCTGTATAATATTTGCCTCCATCGTCTGCATATCTGGAACCATCAACAAAAAATGTGAAGTCTGGGTCCTGCAGTGGTGTTTCACTCACTGTGGGGAGATGGAAGGTGTCAGGGCTCCCAGGTATGACCAGAGGTGTGTGACTGAAGCAGGGAAACGCAGACTTCAGATATGGGATAAACAATGTAATTTATTAACACTAACAATACAAACATAAACGCAGTGCAATACTAAACATAAAACAGTGCAAACAAACCCAACCAACCACCCACAGATAACAGTACATACAAGCAAGCGTCGTCAGGCAGGCTGGGTCAATATCAATTGGGCAGGTAGGTACAGGGGGAGCAAGCGGAGAATGGTCGGGGTCACAGGCCAGGTTCAGCAGGTAGCAAGCAGCGTAGTACAGAGGGTCAGGCAGAGGGATGGTCAGGGTCACAAGCCAGGGATCAGAACAGGTAGCAAAGGAACAGAAACAGGATGCAGGACAGATACAGGGCCCAGGACAAACACAACACCAAGGCAGAGTCTGCAAGTCTGGCCATCCCTTAAATACACCAGTATCATCAGTTCCAGGTGTTAGCTGGCTGAAAGGTTGAGTCTCTGATTGCTGGGAGCATCCGCTGGCCAGCCCTGGTACTGCAGATCAAAAGGCAGGTGAGTCCCACCATTGCTGGCCAGTCCATTCCTGACAGTACCCCCCCCCTCAAGGAGCGGCCTCAGGACGCTCCAAACAGTCCTAGCTGGGAAAAATGTTCCACCGCCCGGGTCTGGTAACTGGCGGGATATCAAAGACTGGCACACCGGGCAGGACTCCGGGCAGCGGTACACCGGGCAGAGGCACATCGGGCTGGACTCCGGGCAGAGGCACATCGGGCTGGACTCCGGGCAGAGGCACATCGGGCTGGACTCCGGGCAGAGGCACATCGGGCTGGACTCCGGGCAGAGGCACATCGGGCTACCAGGCGAAGCGGCAGGCAGCGGGCCACCAGGCGGAGCGGCAGGCACCGGGCCCCCGGGCGGGGCGGCAGGCACCCGGGCCCCCGGGCGGGGCGACAGGCCTCGGGCCCCCGGGCGGGGCGGCAGGCATCGGGCCCCCAGGCGGAACTACAGGTCTCGGGCCCTCAGGCGGAGCGGCGGGTGCCGGACCCCCAGATGGAGCGACAGGCGCCGGACCCCCAGATGGAGCGACAGGCCTCAGGCCCCCAGGCGGGGCGACAGGCATCGGGCCCCCAGGCGGGGCGACAGGCATTGGGCCCCCAGGCGGGGCGACAGGCATCGGGCCCCCAGGCGGGGCGACAGGCATCCAGGGGCCCCCAGGCGGAGCGGCGGGCGCCGGACCCCCAGGCGGAACTACAGGTCTCGGGCCCTCAGGCGGAGCGGCGGGCGCCGGACCCCCGGGTGGAGCGACAGGTCTCGTGCCCTCAGGCGGAGCTGCGGGCGCCGGACCCCCAGGTGGAGCGACAGGCATCGGGCCCCCAGGCGGGGCGACAGGCATCGGGCCCCAAGGCGGGGCGACAGGCATCGGGCCCCAAGGCGGGGCGACAGGCATCGGGCCCCCAGGCGGAGCGGCGGGGCGCGGACCCCCAGGCGGAACTACAGGTCTCGGGCCCTCAGGCGGAGCGGCGGGTGCCGGACCCCCAGATGGAGTGACAGGCGCCGGACCCCCAGATGGAGCGACAGGCCTCGGGCCCCCAGGCGGGGCGACAGGCATCGGGCCCCCAGGCGGGGCGACAGGCATCGGGCCCCCAGGCGGGGCGACAGGCATCGGGCCCCCCAGGCGGAGCGGCGGGCGCCGGACCCCCAGGCGGAACTACAGGTCTCGGGCCCTCAGGCGGAGCGGCGGGCGCCGACCCCCGGGTGGAGCGACAGGTCTCGTGCCCTCAGGCGGAGCGGCGGGCGCCGGACCCCCAGGTAGAGCGACAGGCATCGGGCCCCCAGGCGGGGCGACAGGCATCGGCCCCAAGGCGGGGCGCGACAGGCATTGGGCCCCAAGGCGGGGCGACAGGCATCGGGCCCCCAGGCGGAGCGGCGGGCGCCGGACCCCCAGGCGGAACTACAGGTCTCGGGCCCTCAGGCGGAGCGGGCGGGCCCCCAGGCGGGGCGACAGGCATCGGGCCCCAAGGCGGGGCGACAGGCATCGGGCCCCAAGGCGGGGCGACAGGCATCAGGCCCCAAGGCGGGGCGACAGGCATCGGGCCCCCAGGCGGAGCGGGGGGCGCCGGACCCCCAGGCGGAACTACAGGTCTCGGGCCCTCAGGCGGAGCGGCGGGCGCCGGACCCCCGGGTGGAGCGACAGGTCTCGGGCCCTCAGGCGGAGCGGCGGGCGCCGGACCCCCAGGTGGAGCGACAGGTCTCGAGCCCCCAGGCGGAGCGACAGGTCTCGGGCCCTCAGGCGGAGCGGCGGGCGCCGGACCCCCAGGTGGAGCGACAGGTCTCGGGCCCTCAGGCGGAGCGGCGGGCGCCGGACCCCCAGGTGGAGCGACAGGTCTCGGGCCCTCAGGCGGAGTGACAGGTCTCAGGCCCCCAGGCGGGGCGGCGGGCGGGCGCCGGACCCCCAGGTGGAGCGGCGGGCGCTGGACCCCCAGGCGGAGCAACAGGTCTCGGGCCCCCAGGCGGAGCGGCGGGCACCGAGTCACCAGGCACGACAGTGGGCTCCGAGTCAACTGGCATGACCACTGGCACTAGGTCAGACATTGGATCGTCTGGCTGGACAGCGGGTATCGGGTCACCAGGCATCAGGTCATTTGGCTCGACAGCGGGCACCGCGTCATCTGGCAAGGCAGTGGGCTCCGAGTCAACTGGTATGACCGCGGGCACTGGGTCAGACATTGGATCGTCTGACCGGACAGCGGGCATCGGGTCACCAGGCATCAGGTCATTTGGCTCGACCGCGGGCACCGCGTCATCTGGCAAGGCAGTGGGCTCCGAGTCAACTGGTATGACCGCGGGCACTGGGTCAGACATTGGATCGTCTGACCGGACAGCGGGCATCGGGTCACCAGGCATCAGGTCATTTGGCTCGACAGCGGGCACCGCGTCATCTGGCAAGGCAGTGGGCTCAGAGTCAACAGGCACGACAGTGGGCACCGGGTCATCAGGTACCGGATTGTCTGGCTCGACAGCAGGCATCGGGTCACCAGGTATGAAAGCGGGCACTGGGTCACCAGGCCATTTGGCTTGCCAGCGGGCACCGCGTCATCTGGCAAGGCAGTGGGCACCGGGTCACCAGGCATTGGATCGTCTGGCTCGACAGCGGGCATCGGGTCACTAGGTATGACAGCGGGCACTGGGTCACCAGGCATCAGGTCATTTGGCTCGCCAGCGGGCAACGCGTCATCTGGCAAGGCAGTGGGCACCGAGTCACCAGGTACGACAGCGGGCTCTGAGTCAATTGGCACGACAGCGGGCACCGAATCAGGTACCGGATCATCTGGATCAACAGCGGGCATCGAGTCAACTGGCCTAATAGGATCGTCAGGCTGGATCAGTTCATCATGCTGGGTAGAGGCATCAGGCTGAATGCCGGCGTCCGGCTGAGTAGAGGCTTCAGGCCGAGTAGAGGCTTCAGGCTGAAGAGAGCCATCAGGCTGCATACAGGCATCAGGCTGAAGAGAGGCATCAGGCTGCGTACAGGCATCAGGCTGAAGAGAGGCATCAGGCCGAGTACAGGCATCAGCCGAGTAGAGGCTTCAGGCCGAGTAGAGGCTTCAGGCCGAGTAGAGGCATCAGTCTGAACCACGGAAGGCAGGCTCACCGGTTTGGATACTGGCAGGATGGTATTGGTTGGAAAGAATTTTCGCTTTTTTCTGGTTTTAACTACTGGAGCACTGCAAGTAAACGCAGGTCTGCAAACGAATGGAGCAGCTGGAGACAGAGAAGAACTGGAGGATGGAACAGGAGAGGGAGCAGTTGCTACAGAGGGCTTTTTTACAGGGTTAAAGGCAGGATAGGTGCAGCGAGTGGGAACAGGGTACTGACATGCGGTAGATAGCCAAGTATACTGGGCTGTAACTGGAGGAGCTGGTGGGAATACAGGAGTAGAGTTAGAAGCAGGACTGGGTCTTTGTAAGCTGACTGAGGCTGGGTGCAACAAATCTGTCCATGTCTGCAGTATGGGTTGAACAAAGCTGAGCTTACACAAAGCCTGTCTGGTCAATGACTGCACTGCGTTTATACAATCTCTCAGTGTCTGTGGTGAACATGTGGAATAACGCTCCAGAAAGTAACCCACATCATCCTCTAATAACCACACCAGGGACTCTACCTGGTCTGCACTAAATGGTGGCAAAAATTCATCCCTGCATTCGGGGGTACCAGATGAAACCAACTCTGCACAAACCTCAATCAAAGGCTGCACCTCAGAGAACTCTGTGCCCTGATCTACTAGAACATGAGCGAGCCGTATACATTCTAGCAGTTCATCCCGGGGATACTCCTTCAGAGTCTGATAAGCATACTCCCTGTCATCAAACACTAGCAGATATAAATACACAACCTCATCCAGATCCATCCTTCCCATCAACAAGCCAAGATGGCTTCCCTGTGCAGCCACTTCTGGTCAGGATTGGCCTGGTGTAATGTCAGGGCTCCCAGGTATGACCAGAGGTGTGTTGACTGACGCAGGGAAACGCAGACTTCAGATATGTGATTAACAATGTAATTTATTAACACTAACAATACAAACATAAACGCAGTGCAATACTAAACATAATACAGTGCAAACAAACCCAACCAACCACCCACAGATAACAGTACATACAAGCAAGCGTCGTCAGGCAGGCCGGGTCAATATCAATTGGGCAGGTAGGTACAGGGGGAGCAAGCGGAGAATGGTCGGGGTCACAGGCCAGGTTCAGCAGGTAGCAAGCAGCGTAGTACAGAGGGTCAGGCAGAGGGATGGTCAGGGTCACAAGCCAGGGATCAGAACAGGTAGCAAAGGAACAGAAACAGGATGCAGGACAGATACAGGGCCCAGGACAAACACAACACCAAGGCAGAGTCTGCAAGTCTGGCCATCCCTTAAATGCACCAGTATCATCAGTTCCAGGTGTTAGCTGGCTGAAAGGTTGAGTCTCTGATTGCTGGGAGCATCCGCTGGCCAGCCCTGGTACTGCAGATCAAAAGGCAGGTGAGTCCCACCATTGCTGGCCAGTCCATTCCTGACAGAAGGTTTCCATTTTCATCACTTCAAGACAATTATGAGGCTCAGTGGCTCCATCATCCTCTCCACTTTCTGCATTACCTTCATTACCCCCCTCAGCAATTGGGAGGAGAGTGGCCGGATTTCGAAGTCTGGTAGACCTAGGGCTGGGCTGAAGAAAGTAAGCGTTTTAGAGCCAAAAAGTTGAGGCAGCCTCTTCGGACAGATGGAAGGGATCAGACTTGAGAGCATCATAGAGTGGTTTGCATAAACCAAGAAGCATCAGGAATCCATGACCTACAGTAGGATATGAGGCCAAGAAAGGCATGGAGTGGCTTCTGGCCTAGCGGCAGTGGCAGGTTCTGGATGGCCTTAACTCTTTCCTCCGTAAGATGCCTTGTTCCATGTAAGAGGCAGTGGCCCAAGAATTAACGACTGTTGTAGAGCACCATTACAACTTCGGTTAAGAAGCCTTACAGCATTGGTGTGCCAAGTAACATAGTAAACTCTCCGAGGCTTCTTCAGCCGTGGCAGCTCATCAGCACAGAAGAGAAAGTCATCCATATACTGAAGAAGGGACCATTGCCGAATGTTCCTTTTGCCATGTGTTCAGTATTGTGGTCAATGGCTTTGGCGAACTGGCTCGGAGAATTTGCGCGCCCCTTGTGTGCATAACTGCCCAGGTGTATTGCTGCCCCTCATGGATAAAAACGAAGAAGTATCTGCAGGAAGGATACAAGTGAACGCTGAAGAATGCATTTGCCAGGTCCACTACGGTGAAATACTTTGCTGTTGGAGGTACCCCTGTGAATAAAGTGTGGGGATTTGGGGCGATAAGTGTCTCTAAGACGGTGGCTTCATTCACTGCTCGGAGGTCCTGTACCATCCTGTACTTCTCTGGTTCTCCTTTGGGTGTCTTCTTTTTATCGGGAACAAAAGTGTGTTACATGGAGAGGTACAAGGTATGAGTGCACCATTTGCCACAAGGGACTTGACCTGCTTTGAAATGGCCTCAGGATTGTGCTGTTTCAGTGGGTACTGGACCGGCACACTGGGTAGAGGCACTCACTCGAGGCTTTTGGGCCCTTCCGTTGTCTAATTTGGTGTACCAAATGGCCA